ATGTCATTAATCATTGCAGAGTTTAATCTGTTAATTCATTTACTGTAATATTGGTGCTTTCCGTCAATAAATTTATTTAGGTCTGTTTTATTTTTTGAGCCAATTAGCCAATCAACTGGCTGACGAAGAAACCTTCAAGTTGAGCCTGCTTTTGAACTCTTGACATTCTGAAGCTGTGTTTAGTACTTACCATTATTGACTTTATGGTGCATCTTCCAAATGACAAATAAACAGATCAATACATATTAAAGGAACAATAAAACTCTCTGCAGGTTATAAGAGAAACATAAGCCTATTGACAAAAACGAATGTAACATCGTCTTCTTTGGTTAATTAAAAGAGAGATAAAACATTTTTTTCTTAATATTTGTATCTAGAGTTTATTTAAATTTTCACACAGGCAGTGCAAGAAGAAGAGGTTTATTTGTTCTGACATGCACATCAAATGATGTACAGATTTACAGATTTATATATATATATATATATATATATATATTTACCAAATGTTTCCTTGGGTGAGTCAGTAGGCCAAATCTAAACCAACCCGGTCTCACCCCAAGACGTCATATAACTGACGTTTTGGGACGTCTTTTGACCATACGTCAATATTCGCCTTTTTAGGGCCCCCTTAAACGTCGGTAGATGAGGTTATGGGATCCTAACTCTACCCCATACCTAAACCTAACCCTAAACCTAACCCGTCACCTAACTGACGTTAAAGGTAAAGCGTCAGTTGTATGACGGCCCGGGATCGCCATCTACCGACGTTTAAGGGGGCCCTAAAAAGGCTGATATTGACGTATGGTCAAAATACGTCCCAAAACGTCAGTTATAAGACTTTTTGGGATGAGACTGTGTTATCTAAACATAACAATGGCAAAATAGACCTCACTCTAAAAAATGCTGGGTTGTTTTAACCCAATATTGGGTCAAATATGGACTAACTCAAACATTGGGTTAAAAATGTCATTTAAAAATGTAACCCAATGGCTGGGTTTGTCCATATTTGACCCAAAATTGGGTTAAAACAACCCAGCATTTTTTTAGAGTGGATGAACATTTCCCCAATTTAACCTTTTTCAAATTTAATCCAGTGAATGATTTGCCACTTGGATTAAGGTTTTGGTGGGGAAAAAGTAAAAAAAAAAAAAAAAAATCCATTTATTGAGTTACCAATAAGTATTTCCAACAGTTGGAAAATGTTTCAAACTGTACTTATGAGTATGATTAATTCAGCAGTGGACATTGTTATGTCTAGGTGGAGATCACCTCCTTTTGGGGCAGTCACAGGTGCCTAGATTTAACTTGTTTCTGCTGGCATTTGTTCCCTTTGGAAAGTCTTTTTTTTTTTAAAGTGTGTTTCCATTTGAGTGCTCTATTGTATGCCTCTATTCTATTTTCATTTTGCAATGTTAAGATTGGCTTGTTTTGGATCAATGTGTGACATTGTAACAGAGGATCCGCTATGAATTCACTGAGGAGGAATTAAGTGGCCTTCCTCCTGAAGTATACATCATATTTATCACAGTCTGTGGACCATGAGACAATTCTCTCTCTAAATGCATCATTGTAGTACCCTGGAAATCCAGAGTTCTCACGAGAGCACAATTAGAATTTGCTCAGCGAGTCACTCCGACATTGAGTAATGATGCTCATTAACTATGGCCTTGTAGCCAAGCTGCACCAATCACATCCGTGTATCTGATAGAGACGGGCCAGAGGCGGGCTAAACAGATGACGACAGCGCTGCGACGTTGAAGATGGCTATGGATGAACAGTTGTTTGAAAAGGTTTTGGCTGCTACAATGAACGAGTTAGGCTTAAAGGAGAACTCCGGGCGCAAAATGAACCTTTGGTCTAATAAAACATCGATACCTCGTCAAACGTTCTCTGAGATTTGTTTTCATGATAATCGAATGTAAAGAGTTTTATCTCTAAAAACGGTTTAGCATATAATGCTAGCACTGGGGGCATTTACTAAGTAAAAAGAAATCGCTAGTTTATTCCACTAACAAGACTCAAAATAGCCCCACACTAACACAGTAACATAATGAGGGTCCATGCATGCAAAACGAAGCATTGAGAACTTTGAAATTGTACAGACCATTTAATAAGAAGATACTTTCACTTTGCGTATACAGACAGGAGCCATCTTAGAAAATAGTCTCGATAAATCGATCCCTGAACACAGGATCAAACAAAGGTTATTTAAATAGCTCAACACAACATATGTTGTTTCTCCAAATTTAAATTAAAATGCAACTTTTAAGGATGTCTACAGTCTCAAAATTATTCATGCCCTTCATGGCAAGCATCTTTAGTACTTAATAGAACAGTCTTTTGCTGTTATGACCTGCTACAAACGAGATGTGTTACCAGACATCCGCTTCTGGCAGCGCTTCCTAATAATCTTAGCCCTTCCTCATGAGCAATGGCCTGCTGTTCAGAAATATTTTTGGGTTTGCTTGCCTTATTCAAATCCCACCAGATGTTAGTCAGTTGACTGTGATGGCCACTGTAGAATCGTCCAAGCCTTGGTAGAATTTGAGGTATGCTTGTGATCATTGTCCTGTTTGAAGGCATTGACACACTGACGGCATGACATTTCTCCTGGATTTCCTGATACTTCAGTGAATCCATCTTGCCCTCCACATGCTGCAGGTTTCCAGTGCCCGAGGATGCAAAGCAGCCCCAGAGCACCACCATGCTTAACTGTTGGCAGACTGTTCTTTTCAGCATAGGCTTCTGGTTCCTCCAGACATACCACTGATCCATAGGACTGCAAATTTACAGTTTTTCTTCATTGCTTAATAGAACAGAATCCCAAAACTTGTGTGGCTTATTTATATGAGTTGCAGCAAGACATTGGAGCACACTTTTCTTGTGCTTTTGGGTCAGTGGTGTACATCTTGAAGTTGGAAAACGCATTATTTTAGTACGTGCCGCCTTCATCTGTGCCTGTTGCCAGCAAGTCTTGCTGTAGGTCATTTGCAGGCACTCAAGGCTTTTTCTGAACCTGCCTTCTCAGAAATTAGTTTGATTGCTTCCTTTTTCTTAGCCGTCCAGGTAGTGCACCCACTGTTCTATTAACGTTGCCTCTTGGAACATTTAGTGCTGCTTTTGCTTTTTTTTTTTTTGAATCCTGTTCCTTGTTTATGAATGGCGAGGAAACTTGCTTTTGAGACTGTACTTTTTGGACAGTTCTTTTTATTTCACCATTTTTATAACATGCAGTCAAACGTAACACTCAACAAACCCAGTTCAGTATTTCATGTGTTCAGTGATGTCCTTGATTTATCAGTTGTGCTTGAGACAGATTTGTGCTGTTGTGAGGGATTCTATATAGGGGGTTGAATAATTTTGAGACTCCAGAAGTTAAAGGTTTCAGTTGAATTTGGGGAAACCACTTGAAACATTTGTTGTGTTGAGCTACTTCAATTACTTTTTGTTGGATTTTTTGTCATTGCAAACAGCTGAAAGTCTGTAAATTTGGCTAATATTCTTGATTTGAAATTGGTGTTGAATACTTTCGATGGGGAACAACATGGGGAATAATGAGGGAATTAAACAGAATGATTTAACTAATGAGTTACCAAGGAAACAAACTAACTCAGGCAGGCTTAAAGGAGTACACTCTAAAAAATGCTGGGTTGTTTTAACCCAACTTTGGGTCAAATATGGACTAACCCAGCCGTTGGGTTAAATTTTTACATTACATTTTTAACCCAACATTTCGGGTTTGTCCATATTTGACCCAAAATTGGGTTAAAACAACCCAGCATTTTTTAGAGTGTAGTTCACTTTAAAAAAAAAAAACTTTTGCTGATAATTTACTCACCCCCATATCATCCAAGACGTCCATGTCTGTCTTTCTTCAGTCGAAAAGAAATAAAGGTTTTTGATGAAAACATTCCAGGATTTTTCTCCATATGATGGACTTCAATGGGAACCAAACGGTTCAAGGTCCAAATGAGAGTTTCAGTGCAGCTTCAAAGGGCTTTAAACGACACCAGATGATGAATCAGGGTCTTATCTAGCGAAACGATCGGTCATTTAAAAAATAAATAAAAAAGTTTAGGTTTTATAAGCACAAATGCTCACCTTGCTCTGTTCGTGACTCTCCTGTTCAAACTCGTTCATCAAAATTAACAAACCTTTTTTGAGTCATGACTCGAAGGGTCCTAGATAAGACCCTTATTCACTGTTTGGTGTTGTTTAAAGCCCTTTGAAGCTGCACTGAAACTCTCATTTGCACCTTGAACCGTTTGGTTCCCAATAAAGTCTATTATATTGAGAAAATCCTGGAATGTTTTCTTCACAAACCTCAATTTATTTTCGACTGAAGAAAGACGTGGACATCTTGGATGACAAATTATCATCCAAGATGATAATTTACTAAGTGAGTTTTTTTTAAAAGAGAACTATTCCTTTAAACAGAACATACACGTTGCATTTAATTGATACATCTCTCAAGTAACTTAAATGTAATTTATAAAAATTTGGTTCATAACTTATAATGCAGCTAACTACCTTTTCAAACAGTATTTTGACTGTTTAACTACTTAAAGAAGTGATTACAAAGTAGCTTTCCCAACGCTGCATAAATCTTATGACCTAAAATGTTTTCTTTCCTAAGCATCTCAATAATTCATTGTTCAAATTTGTATACAGAATATACAGCTTAGATCAAAACAATACGCTCACTGAGTCACAGTGCTCAGTTGGGTCTCATTTTGTATTGATCTGATGCAGAGTTTTGGATTGAGTGGGCAATGAGAAGTGCCAAGAAACACCTCAGCGAGAGGGATGACGTGGTCCCGCATGTCTTTGCTTTAATCCAGAAAGCCATTTAACTTTGTGCAGACTCACTCCAGGACGGCAGCTCTCAGGGCTCACGTTGTTTCAGTTAAAATCAAAAGAGTAATAAACAGCTGCAACTTCTAAATAGAGCAGCCAGCATGTGTATCTTGAGGTTAATGACCTTAACTTTTCTCACACAGGTAACCTCTCAAAGACTTGCACTGCTGATGGCTGGACTGAAATGGACCCAATGGAAATCGCAGTGTATTGTGGCTATAATCTGAATGGCACTGTTGACGATGTAAGTACAAATTGTTTCTCTCTTCGGCGAGTAATTGTTTCTCACGGGGACGTAAAATCATTTTAACTTTACAGTACAGGGGCTTTTCAGTGATTTTTATTGCCGTCCAAGTTTTTTTTTTTTCCTGGCCGAAATACCTACAGTAATGTTTTTCTGAATTTAAATGTCATCCAAACTCTGAATTCACATTTCTGAGTTTACAAGAAAGGAACAATTCAAAAGTAATTGCCTAAATCCTTTTTGACCACTACACACTATTGTGCTTTGCATTTAAAATATGGATACTTTTATTACTGAAATACTGGAAAATATTTATTTACAAGAATTATATACCATTCTACTACAGTGAATGGGAGCTGTAGAAAAATAAATAAGAGAACAAAATCATATGATCTTTTGAGACTATTTCTAACTTACTCTAAACTAAGAACAGTAAATTTGCTAATTTCCCTATTTTTAAAATGACATCTGTCAGTTTGAGAGATAAAAAAATAAATAAATAAAATAAAATATTATTTTTCTTTTGTTAAATTAAATATGAATTGATTAATTGTCCAAGCAATAACGCAAATGTCATTTACAGCTGGCGATTACATGACTGACCACATAAGCAGCACGTTCATGGGTTCAGAGTATCACAGAACTTTCTGAGGTACATGCAAATGTATTTTTTAGAAGTCCCCATGAGAAACAATTACCATCCAAATAGGGCTAAAGTAGTTTCCCATCACTTCATGTAATTGGGAGACTTTAGAGAGCATCATACGTACATGCAAAATATCTTCAAATATCATTTATGTCAAACTAGTGTTTTCAGAAACTCCACTGGCATTATACAACACTGAAATGCTCAGACTCTTGACATATTGGACTTTTAGCCCACACAAAACGACCATTCTCAATTCAAATTGAGTGTCCCTCACCCAAAAAGCCCAAGCTTTAACGTTCACCTTTTTCCAGTCAACCTCTTAGCCTCCTTTTCCAGCCTGCCTTTTATTGCCTAGTGCAAACTATGTCCAAACATAAAAGCTCCTTTATTTAGCGATACGCATAGATGTGTCAGCCCTTGGAGATATTTGTAAACATACAAATAAGCCATCGCTGAAGTTATTATATAATTCAAAAAGCCTTGATCTTTTGAGCAGAGTATAGTTAAGTGAAGAGCAAATGACCTTTGCCCTTTGATGAAAGCTTTCCCACCATGTTTCCGCATCAACAGGATGGGTAATCAGCTCGTTCGGTCTTCAGAGCCACCGGGAATATGTGGGCATGGGACTTAAAAGGAATTTTGTGTTCTTGTTAGTGAGCATCTGGTGCTCCTTGTTGATATGTTCAGGTTTTTATATTCAACTTTGGTCAAAGGCTATAGAGGGGGTTGTTTGAAATATGAAGTGTGTCTTTTAAAGATTTGCATTGGGCATAGTTCCCATTCTTACCACAGAAAAGAAAACCTTGAGTAAGAATCCTCTTTTTCAGACATCAGGATCCAATAAAATAGACAAAAAATGTTTTGACCCCACTCTCGTCATACATGAGAGCAATGTGCTTTTTAAAAAACTTTTATATTTTACACATCGAACACAATACTGACAATTGTAAGATTAGATATCAAACCTTGCGTGCATCTGAGATAGCCTACTTTTTTAGACCAAGACAAAATGTACATTTCTTGCTTTTAAAAGAATGATATGCTAGAAACTGCATTCAGTGGTGGTAAGAAATATAATACCGTAATCAAAAGGTTTTATTCAATACTGTCATCATTTTTAATGATTTTGAAAGAAATCTCAGTCACACTTTTATAGTAGGGTCCAATTCTCATTATTAGCTAACAATAAACGTCTTGGTTACGTATGGTAACCCTCGTTCCCTGAATAGGGAACGGAGACGTCTCATCGGAGGAGTCGTTGGAGTTCCCATATGAAAGGGAACTACAATTTTGCCTCAATAAACTCCTAATAAAATTTTGGACCCACTGCTCCTAGTTAAGCCCGCCACAATATGCTCCCACCAGTTCTGAGATCTGTCTCACACAAAATAACTGAAGCACAGGCGCAGGCTGCAATGATGGCTCTTTTTGTCCTCCTTCGCCTCTAAATCATGGTGATGTTTGAAACTTTGCATATATCGCAGAGCTAGCGTCAAGCATATTTCGTGTTTGTCCATCTGTGCGAGATAATTTAAAGGGATAGTTCACCCAAAAATGAAAATTTTGTCAGTTTTTACTCACCCTCATGTTGTTCCAACCCCGTAAGTCCTTCGTTCATCTTCAGAACACAAATTAAGATATTTTTGATGAAATCTGGGAGCTGGATCACTCCTTCATAGGCTTCTTAAGGGATTGAAACTTGTTCCCCGAAAAGTTATTAAAGACATCGTTAAAATAGTCCAAGAGACTACAGTGGCTCAATCCTAAATTTATCAAGCGATGAGAATACTATTTGTGCGCAAAAAAACACACAAAAATAACGACTTTATTTCAACTATTAATTTCCTTCTCTGTGGGGATCGAGTCAGTTCAATAAAAACAATAAATAGAGTAGTTACTTTGCTGAATAGAACGTTAAAAAAACAGCATTTATTTGAAATAGAATTTTTTTGTGACTTTATAAATATAAGTATTCATTTCTTTTTCTTTTTTTTTTTCTTTTTTTGCGGACCCCAAATTTTTGAATGGTAAAATTTGAACAGAGATGGTGTTTAGTGAACACACATTCTTTCTTTTCCTTTGCAGGATAGTTTCTTCAGGTCAATAAAGATTGGCTACACCATTGGACACAGTGTTTCTCTCATTTCTCTCACTACTGCCATTGTAATACTTTGTATATTCAGGTAAGAATTTGTACATTTGTCAACTATGCTAAACATGTAGGTCTGGGGGAGGGTTATGTTCAGCCGATTTATGTTCGTATACCAAAACAATGTGATTACACTTTATTTTAAGTTGTCCTTGTTACAATGTAATTATAAATTTAAGTATTGAGTAATATTAATTGTACTTACTAAAGGGTTAGGAATAGGATTTTGGTTTAGGGTTAGCTGCATGTAATTATGCACAATTAAAGTTATTAGTATAGTCATTGGTTAACGCTATAGTGTTAACCAATTTTTTTTTTAGATGTATCATGTTTGTAGTACCAATTTTGCTTTAACTAGTTTTAAATAACCTATCCAAAGCAATTATTTCTAGGACAAATTACTTTGTGTCCACCTGACCTTCAAATAAACTGAGAGTGAAATAATTCAATTTGCTTATTTTAACCATCTTCAAATAAATGAATTGCATGAACAGGGTCCAAGAACAATACAAGGAACAACTGCCTGAAATATATTATAAATTTTATAAATAGTGAGATTTTAAATGTAACATGAAAAACAGTTTTGAAATGTGATTTCAAATTTGAGATAGTTTTTAAAAAAAAAAGTAAAAAAAAAAAAAATTTCAACCTTTTTTTCCCCACATAAAGTTCACACTGAAGGATGACATTTTGATGAAGCTAACAGGATTTAAACACAGAAAACAGTGTTTCATGCATGGTTGAAGCCAACCCTAAATGCACCATGAGGTGTCATGGAGCGAGTCATTGAAGCTGTCGAGGATTAAACAGCGAGCAACATGTTTCCGTTGTGAGACTGCAGTGATTGATCTGGCTCACTAGAGACAGAATGCCCTGCTAATGACAGAAGCTTTCTTCTTACATCTATTTTCAAACACACATTTCATCTAGGCCAAAGAAGACTCTTCACCATCAGAGAATCATTTCAGTGCAGTGTTCATAAATAAACCCACTAGTGATACTTTGAACCACAAGCTCGATTTAATTTAAAACCATTTAAAGCACTCAAATCACTTAGGCAAAATTATTTGTGTCTGAATTAAACATTAGATTTGTTGTGGATTAGACTATTAATGAAGCTGTTCTGGTGGATGATTCGTTTTTGACATGGCACATTACTGTGACATGTACATTACAGGAACTGCTATGGATGTATCTTGTTCATAATAAGGTGATCAGATGTCTGAAATGGAAACTAGGGACATTTCCTAGTTCAGTTGTCAAAATACTATCACTGAATTATCAGTATGAATTAAGTCCCCGGAGCGCACATACTGTAAACGTCACATCTGGCAAAAAAAAAAAAAAAAAAAAATTCACATAAAGTCCTTAGCATAAAAATCAGTCTACACGTTTTCTAGTAAAGTCGTGGAATGTCTAATTTTTTACGTTTTGTTCAAAGTTGTTCACACACTGGGAATAAAAAAAGCGATTATTGCATAAAAATTATTCAGGGATGCGATTCTTCTGGATTTATATGGAATTCCGGGTTTTTCAGCCTAAAATCATGACCCACATGAATCATGCAGATCAGTGATAAATAAAATCGCAGGTGGTTGGGGTTGTAATTTGTTTCAAAATATTTATATAACAGAATATGTTTACGTGATAATATTAGTTAAAGGCACAGTATGTACTTTTTTTCGCCACAGAGTCCGCTGTTTCCAACAATAACAAAGGTGTAGGTTTATGACGCAGTGATGAGTTGAATGATGGGACTTACTGTCAAGCTGATGGATCTAATAATGTTTATGGATTAGAGATTGGATTTAAGATTTATTAATCTTTGCAAATCGTGAAAAAAAAAGTTGTTCATGACCATTAAATGTAACATCAATCTGTCAACGAACTTAGCTATATATCAGTAAACATACAGCATTCGTATCTCATGACACTACACCGCCAGTACATACAAAGATAGATCAAAGTGACATTACGTTAACCAACCATTCAGAAACATCCTGTTCGAGCCTTAATTGACAAACTTCTTTACGGCCGCCATCTTGTTCCGGGTCCGACTCCGGTTTAAATTGATACGGTTGCACAGATGTGTCCTCAGATACTCCCGCTGCCATTCTCTCTCTAAAATATACCCTCAACTGTTGTCAAGGTAACACACCACGTGCGTTGTCTAAACGTCTGCCGAACAGATGGGCGGAGTGAGCGAAGCTCATTATCATTTAAAGGCATATGCACTGAACTGGCGTGCTGAAAACAGAGCTGTTTTTGACCAGGTAAAATTAGTGTTTTCTTACAATACTAATGAGAATTTTTAATTAAAGTATATTACAAAGTTTTCATTTAGATCCTAAAGATTCATATTAACTTGTGCAAAAATGGCATTATATGACCCCTTTAACCTCGCACACGTTTCCGTTGAGTTCATGAGCGTGATGACCAATCAGAAGCGTTCAGCTTTAATATAATTCATAAATGCTTCTAAGGGTACTACAAATAAATTATAGCTGTTAAATATATTTCCATGTGTGTCACTCATCGCAGTTTCTGGTATTCATGCAGTAAATGGCTGATTCAGGTGTTTAAAAAATAAAAAGTGCTTTACACTGGGTCTAAAAAAAATCCTGCTTTTTTTCACTCGCACGATCACATCCCTGATTATAACTCCTTAAATATTCACAACTGTTAGTATGCTCTGGAAACCAATGGGTTATGTTGGTAAGGCTTATTTACAATGCAGGGTGTTTAGAACTTGCTATAAAATGGGGACATTTGTGGGGACAGGACTCCATCTAGTCTGTGTCTGATAAACCTAGCAAGAAGCTGACCTATAAAAATGCAAATAAAGTTCTGCTGTAAACAGTCATAAACGGATACTTTTAGCAACTCACAGCACTGTTATTACAGCGTCAATCCCCCTTGGAGCACCCTGGGGTTACTTGTTTTGCTCAAGGGCACAAATATGATAGTTCACGGCATTCTCGTTCTGATTACCAACCCGAGGTTTAACCACCACAACCCACACTTAATGCTGCTATTCCCATCAGTAATAAGGTTCATGTGTACAAGTATGGCAGAGCAGTAAAGCTGCTCATGTTCAGCTCTGGAGCAAAGTAATCAGTCCTAATCCCATCTCTTAACACTATCTGCACTCGAGCTGCAGGCTTTAGCAGTCTTAACTGAGACTATATCAGTCTGGTGTGGGATTTCAAGGAATGACAGGGGTTGAAGACCTGATCACACCTCAGGTTATTATTGCCGGTTTGAACACTTGCTCCCACTCCATTGAATGACTCAGGTCACACGTTTTCATTGGTTGGTGGAAACACAGTCTGTGGTCTAATTAAATTGTTCCTTTACCAAGAAACACATGGTAAAAATACATTTGTAGGGTCTAAACCTGTCGGTGGTATAATGCAAGGTTATCCTGCAGATGGCCACTCACTAGAGACACAACATGGACCCGTGTGTCTGTAAAAGTCGTGCTGATAGTGTCAGATCACAGCATGTAAAATGAGCAAACCAGAGACATCATGCCTGCGCATGAGTGCTAGGTTAAAGGAAACACACGAATTTGACCTTTAACTTAATGTAAGTTATAGTCAGTTAGGGAGAACTGCAATGTCAAGCAATGAAATACAACTTGTATAAAAACCAACTCTTCATCACTGGTTCACACTTGTCTATACACTGTAAAAACACTGTTTTTGAATTGACTAATCTAAAAGTTGCCAATGTATTTGGACTAAACCTTTGGTAAAAATTAAAAAGATTTTTACACACTGTAAAAAAAAATATTGATGGTTTAACTTAGTAAGTAAGTAAGTAACCTGGTTGCCTTAAAATGTTAAGTAATTGAACTGGAAAAAGTGAGTTAATACAATGAAGGAGATTAATTTAACCATCAGAAACTCGAAATTATATGTTATCTGAACTAAATAAATTATTTAAGTTGATTTGACAAAAGAAAAATCACTGTAAAAAAAATATTGTTGGTTTAACTTAAAAAAGTAAGTAACCTGGGTTGCCTTAAAATTTTAAGTGGATTGAACTGGAAAAAGTGAGTTAATACAATGAAGTAGATTAATTTAACCATCAGAAACTCAAAATAATAAGTTATCTCAACTAAATAAATTATTATAAAGTTGATTTGACAAAAGAAAATATATTGTGATAACAAATCTTGAAAATAGTTTTTACAGTGCAGTGGAGAGGAACCGTATCAAATATCCAAACCAAGGGATGGATGCTGTAGTGACCTCAAAAGCGAGATTCATTGATTTCAACCTGCTGTAATGTATAATATTTTTGGCCCATCTCAGCAGGCTTTTGCCACAGACACAAAACAATTGGATTTCATGGAGTAATCAATAGTAACTTTTCCACACATTGTTTAGAATTCATCTTACTGGACACATAATTGTAACAAATTGAAGCAAGACATCACCAATGAAGCTAGACAAATTGAAATCCAATAGCATAAGTCAAAATCCAGACTAATTCTAGGAAACTCAATATAAACAGACTCTTCAATGATGCAGTTGGTAATCAAAAGAAAGACAGGCAACACTTTACGATAGGGTTTCATAAACTACTGTTTTACTGTTTAAATCATTCACAAACAACTACATTAGTTAACCTGAACTAATAATACTTCTACTATTGCATTTATTAATAGGGATGCACGACATTATCAGTATAATATATGATAATATATATATTATCATATATTATCGATATGATCATTTTTAATGTCATCGTTATCGACCCAACAAGAACATTCAGCCGATATCTAAAAGCCGAAAAATAATGTATTTCCTTGAGCTGAGGCACTTTAGATGCGCACTGTTCAACATGATGATTTTAAATTGCTTGAAATATGATTGAAATCACTTAAAAAAAGGAAAATCCAGTTAAAGTGCAAAATATGCAGCGCAAGTCTGTCATATCGGCTACACAACATTAAAATAAGAACATCATAATTATGTTTGTATCTTGACTTTTTTTGAGGAGACTTTTTTATAATCAGGCTCTCAAAAATTGTCTAAAAATTTAGATTTATCGGCCAATATATCGGGTATCCGCTTTCAAATATAAAGAATTATCGGTTATCGGTATCGGCCAAAATTTTCATATCGGTGCATCCCTATTTATTAATCTTGGTTAATCTCAGGATTTACTAATACATTTAATACTATGTATTATTTTATTAATACTAGTTCAAAAGTTAACGTCGTTATCTGTTAACGTCGCAGTTAATGGTCTGAACTAACATGAACAGTAAAATTTGCATTAACTAACATTAAGAAATACAGTAAAAACATATTGTACATGGTTAGTTCATGTTAACAAATGATTCCTTAAAGTGTTACCGAAAGACTTAAGCTTAATAATAAGCTGCTGAAAAACACGTTTACTTTAAGACCTCTTGCGGTGAGATAATGACAAAAGTTTATGGAATTTTTTAAAGGGATGGTATAATACCTTTTTCACGTAAAATAAATCTTTGATGTCCCCAGAGTGTGTATGTGAAGTTTTAGCTCAAAATACCCACAGATATTTTTATATAGCATGTTAAAATTGTCACTTTTTGAGGGTGAGCAAAAATGCACCATTTCTGTGTCTGTCCCTTTAAATGCAAATGAGCTGCAGAGGATGGAGCTTCAACAGTTTGCGTTCCTTTACCTCACACAGACATTCACTAAAAAATTCAAACACTTTAGTCTTTTATGTTCAAACCCGAGTCAGACCGAGAAGAAGAAGTGACAACATGTAGAATGCAGGACATTTCTGAATGGTTATTTGATGAATTTATGTAGCTTATGTGTAGTTATCCTCTAGTCATTGATTAGCATATTCTGTCATGATAATCTATTAATTGTGTTTCCGGGGGCGGGGTTTATGTAAATTCTAGGGTTTGTGTTGTCACTAACCCAGGAGGGGTTATTTAAAAGAAAATATCTCCCTTTGCTTTAAACTTTGAGCATTGTAACTTGTAGCAGATGTTGTTTATGTATTTACAGCATGACAGCTTTGTAGATTAGATTTGAGAGCATGACTGTAACATACTATAAAATATTATTTTTTTCTTTGCACCAGAGGCAGAAAGAACCCAGTGTTTAAACAAAGTGTCTGCTGTTTTACATATGTGAGGTATGGACAATATACAGTAAACAAACAAAAAAGATGTTCAGGGTGTTCTGGGATATTAGATTGCATGGACTCTTAAAAGAATATCCTCCCCATAAAATCAATATTATGTCATCGTTTACTCACTCTTGTCTTCCTCCAAACCCATGACTTACTTTGTTCCATAGATGCATTGTAGTTAGAATTTGAATCCGCGCGCCATAGCTTCATAATATTAAATACGCAGGCTGGACAATAAATGAGCAGCTATAAAGTTGAATTTTTAATCAGATTTTGTGAATTCCCTTGTTTACGGTAAGTAGAAATCTGTGTGAAATGGACGTTGGACAGCACAATGCAACAAATTACCCATTTAACGAACCCCTTTCAAGGACCAGAAAGCTCAATTAGGATTTCATTTGTAGTGTAATTAGCTGTCATTTTTCCATTATTAGTTCCAAGAACGGGATGTAATTAGGGGGCAGGGGACTTCTCAATCAGGCTTAACGTATTTTAGATTCAGTAAGTGTGGCTGATTGTATTCCTTGTATTCCCTCAGGAAGCTCCACTGCACGCGTAACTACATCCACATGCACCTGTTCGTGTCCTTCATTTTGAAAGCCGTTGCTGTCTTCGTCAAAGATGCGGTGCTGTATGATGTTGTTCAAGAGTCTGACAACTGCTCAACTGGCTCTGTAAGTTCATTATTGCACAGTCTGTTTATTTATTTTCATATGGATCCCTCAGCAGTCTGTAAGTTTCTATTAGCAAACTGTGTGAGATCCACATGCTGCAAACCAAGTATCCAATCATTGTTGGTAATAATCAGAGTAAATATAGTCTATCCCAGCTTACGTTTACATTTTTTTGATATACTCACGGGTCTCGTGGTGTGTTAACAGAAGTGTCCTGGGCCTCTCGACTGTTATGTCTGCTGCTAAACATCCGTGGGCATAACTTCACACTCCCTGCTGAATTTATTGCAGTTGGTGACCTCTGTTTGAACCAGCTTGCCAAAATGCTTGTTCTAGTCATTCTGGATGGTGTGTACTCCCACCCACTGTTATTGTTGTAAACCCTCAAGCCAATTCAATTTCACAGATTTTCCTTTCAAAAGTGTAAAATTGCAAGATGTGGGGTGAAGTTTGGGTAATTTTTTACACTGACAGCATAGGGTATTTTGTGTTTGCTAGTTTACACTACTGTGCTGAAAAGCCTATTAAACGGTTTGCTAGTGTCAAAAACTAGTGTCTAGTTTAACCCCTTTTTGAGAATGGGGGTTAAAATGCACTATTCAAACTTAAATGGTTGTAATTCAAGAATGCTTTGGAATATATACCCATTTGGTCTTGTTTTAAAGAAAACAATCAGCAGATTATTGCTGAAGTGAAAACACTTCAAAAAATGAAAGTATGAAAAAGTTATGGAAGTTTAAATTTACAGTAAATCAAATATACTGTACTATATAGTTTTTATTTTATATAAAATCTATATTTTACAAAATATTTTTTACTCTAAAATTACTACAAAATCAAAGCCATAAATCTAACCAAGTAATGCTCCAAATTTGAAGTTGATATCACAAAAATTGAAGCTCCCGTGAGATTTTGTTTAGGCGTAGTACCAAAAATAGCCACCGGGTGCCGTTGAATTTAGTTGTATACATTCTGCCTTAACAAATTAATACATTTCTGTCCAAATATCAATTCTGTCACAAAATTTGGAACCTTGAGACCTTTCTGACAATATGTGTTCTGCCAAGATTAGAAAAAGGTTTTGATCCTAAATTATGAAATAGAATGATGCCCAAAAGGGGAGGAGCCTGATAAAATAAGTACCGTTTCTATGGTAACGCAACGTTCAATTATAAAACGGTTTTCACAGGATGAATTCTGAGTTTATAAGCTTTCAAATTATACCTAATTTATGATAACTACTAAAATATGTGATTTAATAAAAAAGGCGATAAAAAAATAATATTATATTTTAGAGGATAATATATATATAATAATAATAATTTTTAGAGGATAATATTTTCTATATTTTTTTATTTAAAAATACTGGATTATATGTTTTATTATGAACTTTTAGCATAAAAACAGAAGTTTCAATGATTAAAAGTGGGTGCATCGACTTTTTTTGAGGTGCACTCTTGTCATAAATTCATCAATTACTCTTCCTACATAATTTGTAACGCAAAACAGGGGTAGAATATATATTTAGAAGTCTTAGACCTTTCCAACAATAATTTCCAATATAATTTGTCATAATTAGATTAGGATTTAATAGAAATATAGTGACGTAAAATTAGGCATCCCGGTACCAGGACGGTGACAGTTAAGGGGTTAACCAGTAATATTTCCAGAAACTCCACCAGGACCAAAGCAATTTGACTAACCTCACCTGCTAGGTTTTGCTTAAACCAACAACCAACAGAAATTTGTGAAAACAGATAAAAGAGAGGCGGTAACAAAATTAAAACGATAAAAAAAAGTGTTAAAGAACAGTAACAAAATTTAAATTAGATCATCCAAGTAAAACAGCAAACCTAGTAAAAGTAATAAAAAAAGCAGATTAAAGAGTGACAGTGACTAAATTAAAAATTAGACCATGCAAGTAAAACAGCTAAATTATTAATACTTGTATAAAGCAAGAGTGACGGTGACAAAAATAAAACTTGGACCATGCAAGGAAATCAGCAAAGCAAGTAAAAGAGTGTCAAAATGAAAAGCATGCCAGTAAAAATAAAAAATAAGCAGGGAAAAGAGTGTTCATGACCAAATTAAAATTACACCATGCAACATTTCATGTAAAACAGCAAAGCTGGTCAAATAAATGTTGCCTCTCTCCACTTAGACCTGCACAAGACCAACCTAAACCAATCTGGAGCAATTCATGCTGGTTTCAGCTGTTTAGTTTCGAATAAACTGAGTTGAATCAGTTTCACAATATTTAGCATTGCCTTGGCAATCATTATTTCCTGACTGCTACTAGTGAAGGACGTTTTCTGAGATGACTCAGCTGTTAAGTTGACTATTGATTGAATTTGACAAAGGAGCAAAAACCTCTCAATGAAAACGTAGCTCCTTATCACAGTGTGTAGAGTGAAGTGTCCTGCTGTAACACGTGTCCAGTTTTCAGACCTGGTGTCTTTCAATGTCTGCAGTTTGAGCAGAAATATACAATAGATCAAGACTGTTTGGTTTAATACTCTTTCAAACTGACCATATTAGTATTTTAGGGCCATGTATAGCCGTCTCTTGACATTTGGAAAAGCCACATTTTACATCTGTATCTAGCTTTCAGTTTCATCTCTCTCTTTTAAAGACTTTCCGCACACAAAATATAACTAATCTACTGTGGAATCAGTGAATATTCACAGCTATGTTATGTGTCAAGCTGCCTTAATAACGTTATTCTCACCTTTAAATAACAGGAGGCCCATGAGGAATGGCAGAATGACTGATTGCCAGAAAGCAGAGTTATGAAAACTATTAGTTGTTGTGGTTTTATGCATGATGTATAATAAATACATTATAAAAATGCAGTTGAGAGGTTCAGCTCAGCAGAAGGTGTTTGTTAGCCATTTGTGTGGTTGAGCCTGCGGCGAAAGCTTTCTATCTATTTCAGGGAGTGCGTGCCCTGAGCAAGAGGTTGCGGCTCTCATAGTAATTTTGGATGATTTGTGTGCATTAGAACTATGAGCTGGATCCATTTGTCCTGCACTGCCTCATTTTGCAAGCCCAAAAGGAGAAAGCATCATTCAGAGCCTTCTGCTGTCTAAACTGTCGATTGCTTCATCCACCCAATTCTTTTCTTCTGCCTGTAAGGCATGCTCTCTCATTTTGAGTGTTGCAGAGGAAACAGAGTTTAAAATGTGTGAATCTTTCTATGATCTCATGAGCTTTAAAGATGTATTTTTAGAAAGACTGAGAGTTTTATTGTTATGTATAAAACTACATATTTTCAAAATCAAGGTATAGGTGTCTGAACCAGACCTGTCAATCTTTTGGACCTGTTTTGTTTTTGGTGCTATAAAACAATGTTTCCAAAATGAAAGTATGTATCTAAAAATTAAAAATTAAAATATATACTGGAAAATATTTAAATTGTGGGAAGTTAACTTTTTTAACTTAATAAAAATGCTGCCCAGGACACTTTGGATAGAAAACACCATACACTCTCAGAAAAAAAGGTACAAAAGCTCACTGGGTACTTTTTTTTTTTTTTTTTACCTAAAAAGTGCATATTGGTACCTTCGTAGCACCTAAAATGTACATATTAACACTTAAAATGAACATATTAGCACCTAAAATGTACATATTGGCACCTAAAATGTACATATTAGCTCCTAACATGTACATATTAACAACTAAAATATACATGTTAGCACCTAAAATGTACATATTAGCACCTAAAATGGACAAAAGTTTACCTTTTGAAAAGGTACAGCCCCAGTGACAGCTTTTGTACTTTTTTCTGAGAGTACAAATGATTTTTCTTTAGCCTACTGTTCAATGGTTTGAGGTTGCTAAGATTTTAAAATGTTTTTGAAACAAGTGTCTTATTCTCACCAAGTCTATTGATCAAAAATAAGTAAAGCAGTAATATTGTGAAATAAAATGACCATTTAAAATGTTCTAATTTAAAATATTTTATTTATTCCTGTGATGTCAATGCTTAATTTCCGTGTCACTACTTCAGTATTCAGTGTCACATGATTTTTCAGAAATCATTCTAATATGTTAATTTGATGCTTAAGAAACATTTTCTTATTATAATTATTATTATCAATGTTGAAAACAGTTAATATTTTTGTGGAATACTGTATGTGATACTTCATTTCAGGATTCTTAGATCAATAAAGATTTATTTGAAATAGACATTTTTTGTAGCATTATAAATGACTACTCTTCTGACAATAATAAAAAAATAATTTTCCTTGCTGTGATTTTGTCTTAAAAAAAATCTTACTCCAAACATTTGAACAATAGTGTAGTTTATGTACATTACATTTAAAGGAAAGAGAAATTAATGAAATTTGAATTTACACACTGTAAAAAAATATTGTTGAAAAATTAAGTAACCTGGTTGCCTTAATTTTAAGTTGATTGAACTGGAAAAAGTGAGTTAATGCAATGAAGGAGATTAATTTAATCATCAGAAACTCAAAATAATAAGTTATTTCAACTAAATAAATTATTTAAGTCGATTTGACAAAAGAAAAAATGTTGTGATAACAAATCTTGAAAATATTTTTTTATAGTGCGGCTTAAAAATTCATCAGTTTCTCTCAAAATACATGTAAGAAAGTGGCTGGTGAACTGGGAAAAGAATAGAGTAAACTTTATAGTACTTAAGCTATGTGTATGAACAACACACGTCTGCAAATTACATTTGAATTGTTATTGCTGCATCCATAGACGGCAGTGTACATTTTACAAACTCCAAATGTATTCTTTTACTAGTAGTAGTACTTAAACCCTTCTGATTATTTAAATGTCTGAAACCTAAATTAAACATTATGTGTTTGAATAACAAGTGCTGAGCTTGTCCATCTTTGGCTCATCGCCGGCCAACGTGTGAAAGCACAGTTTAAATCTCGCAGTTATGTGACGTCACTTATTCTGAATCCCAAATGTTGGACCGTACCACTCAAAAGGTTACCCTTGTTTCCTGATTATTGGTTTATTTACCCTCATTACCCTCGTTTCCTCTCCTATTTATTCTGCATCCAAAATCGCAATCTTCCCCACAATAGACTATAGTGACAAAAAATGCACAAAGTACCCCAATGATCTACTACTTCCGGCGAGTTTCTGAAGTGTGCATATGATGGCAGTGAAGTGACGCTGATAGGTCACTTGATTACGTCCAGATTACATTCTTACGCACATTCATACTATAAAACATAGCGGTCGTCAAGTAATTACGTATTCAAAACAAGTACCTACTCGAGAGAGTATGCGATTTCGGATGCAGCCATTGTGTTTGCGGTCCTGACCCAGTTCGTTGTCAATAATCAAAGCATTCGTGTCGTGTCCTGCTCCCTGCCTTCATCCTTCTGCTCTTGCTCTGCTGGTTTTGTTTTTATTGAAGACTCAGAAGTTAGGAGTCCTTATTAATTCATTCTGCTCATGAGCATGAGGACATGACATTTTCAGCATGATGCTGTATCTTTGCTCTTTTCTTTTTGCCTTCCACCACTTACACCCTCCTGTCTGATTTCATTCCATTGTGTTTGTCTCCCAGTTATTTGTTTATGGTCTTCCTGCAGTCTGCCTGCCATGTCTCGCTGTCCTCATGCAACACACTCTTCTCTACCTCCCACCGGTTCTGCCCAAACAGAACCACTGCTTTCATGAAAGCCTATTAGCAGTGCTTACATTTCTCTGGAAGTGAGAGGAACTCAAAAAAGGGGAGCACTATATGACATAAATAATTATCTACATCGATTAGGGTTTTTGAGAAATGACAAATGTATATGAAGAGTTCAGATGCAAAAGCCTCTAAGTGCCATTTTGAAATTTTCTTCTAAAATGACAATTTTTATCAAGCTTGTATATTTAAGTTCAGTAATTTCACTTAAATGACAATTAATAGGTAATCTTCATTGCCATTTAAGTGAAATTGCTGAACTTAAATATACAAGCTTGATAAAAATGATCATTTTAGAAGAAAATTTCAAATGGCACTTAGAGGCTTTTGCATCTGAACTCTTCATATATTGTTTTCTCTGTGCAAATTTATGTGCAAACTTATCAAAAACCTTTACTTTGACCTTCTTAAATGTGCATTTTAGAAATGTTTACTTCAATCATGTAATGTTTAACTCTGTAAACAGTCAGAAATCGTCTATTAAAATGTCCTTTTTACATACTGTATTGCAAATAGTAAACCAACAATCATATAAATATGGTAAATATCAGGGTGCATCTAAAAGATGAGCACTCAAGTGTGTGAATGACTTTTTTTTGGTCTGATTTTCAGGTTGGCTGCAAAGCTGTGATTGTCTTTTTCCAGTATTGCATTATGGCAAGCTTCTTCTGGCTTCTAGTGGAAGGTCTGTATCTTCATGCTCTGTTGGCCGTCTCCTTCTTCTCAGAGAGGAAGTACTTCTGGTGGTACATTCTGATTGGTTGGGGTAGGTGTCATAGTATTTATGTCCATCTTTATTAACCTTTTTACTCACCCTTTTGTTAACCTTTGACATACTGAATATGTCAGTGAGCCATATAAAGCGACCTACTGAATTTACACTCTATTTTATCTCGCTGCAGGAGGCCCAGCGGTTTTCATCATGGCTTGGAGCTTTGCCAAGGCTTACTTCAAAGATGTGGGGTATAGATAAACACATCAGTCAAAGGGTTAAATTATTTTATGTAAAAATCAAGAATGTGTACATGACATTTGAATGCCCTTTTTTATTGATTTTTTTTTCAGATGCTGGGATATAATAGAAAATTCTGACCCATTTTGGTGGATTATCAAAACCCCCATATTAGCTTCAATTCTGGTGAGATGCCCTTTCTATATATTATATAAAAAAATAATGTGTTTTATATTTTTGTATTTTTTATATATTTTAAATAGTAGTTATTTCTAGATTGCTTTCTCTTTTGCATATTTGTACTTTTTAAATGCTTTTATTTTTATATATTTCCAACATATTTTTCATTCTGTTCTTTTATCTTTAATCCTTTTATATTTTTTAATTTATATTTATATGTTTTTAGTATATGTTCATTCTTTTTGTAGGTTTAATGCTTTCTCTGTTTTTATTGTTTTATTTTTAATGCTTTTTTATATGTTTAAATTATTCAAAAATTATTTTTGTATAGGTTTTCTCTTTCTCCTAAAAGAAAAGACACCTGTTTATGATCTTTATTAAGGCCCTACAAATCCATAGGTCAATCTGGCTCCACATAATTCATGTAATTTTCAGTGTAATAATTATTGAAAGTTTTCAGATAAAAAAAATATTATATAGATACACATACATCTGTGAGCAAGCTTCTAATAATTAATGTGAAAAAAAAAGTTTTCATGTTTATAACCTTGCGATATAAAGATTTACTTTAGTGCTGAGTGTTAAGATTTAAGTAACACAAAACCTGTTGTCCTATGAGCCAGGCAATGTTTCCCTCCAGGGATTTGCATTATACATGAAATATCAATAAGGGCTGAAAGGTGTAAAAAACGCTCTTAAAATCTCTTCTTGGCTTTTCTTTTAAGAGATTTAAAGGAAAGAGAGAAGTGCTTGTGAGAGAGACAGAGAGATCTGTCAATCGAATTGAATGTTTATGGCGATGTATTTATACTGTCTGGGATTTACTATTTTAGGCTAGAAAACTGAAGCTCTTCTTGTCTTCCTCCTCTCAGACATGCCTATTTCACAGTTATTGCTTGTTTTCTAGAGTCAGAAAGCAAAAAGTCTTATTACAGGCCATCTTGTCTACTTAGAGTTAATGTTACCTGTATCGCTGCCATCTTAAGGAGGTAGTTTTGTTTTGTACCTTTGCAAATAGACTTCGTTCCCTGCTTTCTTCGAGACAGTAATAACTCTGTGCTTCGGGACCATTGACTTTATGACCCCTCAGTGGTTTCAGTAATCTTTGCCGAATCATGACATGAAGCAAAATAACGACACCCACTATTTTGTTATTTTGTTTTTCCACTAACAACAGATGAACTTTATCCTGTTCATTTGTATCATCCGGATACTGCGGCAGAAGATCAACTGTCCTGACATTGGGAGAAATGAATCAAACCAATATTCGTAAGTATCCATTCAAACAGGTTTTTGTAGGTTTTTTCATTCTGTCCTTTGTTCTCATTAATCTCCTCACCCTTCTGAGAAGAGCAGCAGAAGAAATTTAAAGGGGTAAAAAGCGATAGTTCACACAAAATGAAAATTCTGTCATTTTTACTCTCCCTCACATCATTCCAAACTCATTTGACTTCTTTTCTTCTGTGAGACTTGACATATTGAAAAAATGTGAATAAGATTCGAGAACTGCAGCAAAGGTGAAAAATGAATAGAGACTTAAATTTCAGCCTTTTCCTCACAGGTTTAGTATGACTTTGAAAAATAACAAATGAGTCATGACTACTTTTACTTTATGTTTATTGTGTTTTTGCATCCCTTTTGAAGCTTTAAAATGAATAAATGATGACCGAATATTCATTTGTGGGTGAACTATCCCTTTAAATGCTGGCCAAGATTGGTTAAAGTGGATAAGTACTGTTCTAGCTTTTAGACTAGCCTGAGCCTGACCTCAGAAACCATCAGAAAACAACAGCTAGTTGGCCACAACTGTCTTGTTGGTTAAGATAGTTATGGGGACACCAGCATCTAAAGCACAACTTCTGCTGTAGATCAGCTATTCTGGTCTTTTTGGACGGGTGAGGAAGGAGGTACATGAGAAGCATTTTAGTTTATGTAATTTTAACACGAGCATAAAATATGGGGATATTTTAGCTGCTCTCTCCAGCAGCGAGTGAGAACCGACTGCACTGCAATCTCATCATCTAAAATGTCAGTGGCTTTCTCCGCCATTGTTCGGATGATTTAATGTCCTTTGTCCTTGAGTAACTGCACTGTGCAGTTCGTACAAAACAAGACGTGGTTCTTAAGCACCTGCAATTTTCTAACCCAGCATTACTAATGTTGTTATTCCAGTAATATGCTTTTTGATATAACCTGGTCATAATATCATTCTCAGACCCGTGCTGAGTGCAGGTTATGAATGACAACAAAGTATCGCTTAATGCTATTTGTTATGCTCTTTTTTTTTTTTTCTATAGGAGGCTGGCAAAATCCACACTTTTGCTGATTCCACTCTTTGGGATAAACTTCATCATATTCGCTTTCATTCCAGAGAACATAAAAACTGAACTAAGGCTTGTGTTTGACCTCATTCTTGGGTCATTTCAGGTATGTCTGAGGCTTTAATTACTCAAACTATCTTTGAAAAAAAGAAGAAAAAAAGTAGAGCCAAAATATCAATATATAGTCCCAAGTGACAGGAAATGCACTCAGGCTAATGGTAGAACTGTTGTTCAAATGGCAGAATAGTTTAATGATGTCTGGTAGAACCGCTCAGGGGTCCTCAAACAGTCTCCAAAGAGCATCTCGGTCTCACACACTTAAGCTATTGGCTGTTGTTTTAAATTGCATAATTGGGTGTTTGGCTTTTTTACCCTGTGGATGTTTAGAAAATAAACTCTCTGAAAAACACCCTCATTAATTTATTCATTTTAATTTAAGGTCATGGATATTTCCCCCAAATCTCAAGTGATGTATGTTTGTCATTTTCTGCAAATAAATGCTCTAACAAAAATGTTAATTTCACCCAAACACAGTAAAACCAGTAAATAGTAATACCACTGAAACGTCTCGGATGTAACCCTCGTTCCCTGAGTAGGGAATTGGGACGTTCCGTCAGATGACGACGAATGGGGTTTCGTATAGAAAGCCTATCGACTTCGAGTACACAAAACGAGCCAATGGCAAAGAAAATGCCATGGGTCTGCGGAATTTGCATAGCGTATCTCCGCCTTACCTCGTTGGTATAAAGGAGGACGCCGGCAACATGCAGATATGTTTCTTCGCTGAGGAGCCGAGACTGAACTCAGGCGATCCCCATGGTACATCAGAAAGTGGCAGGAAGACAGAACTCTCAGGGAACGAGGGTTACATCCGTAGACGAGACGTTCCCTTCCGTTGTCACTCCGAGTTCTGTCCGATGACAACGAGTGGGATACCAGTCAAATCACACTACCTTCTCAGTTGTCTTCCAGTGCCCTGCGTAAATCTGAGATCCCTGTCGTGACACTGGCACGGACGAAGGACTCCTATTTAGCTTAGTGGAAAAATGCAATTACTGCCAACCCAGAGGGGGGGACTTGGAGAATACACATATGACCCCGAGGGATGCATATGGAGAACACTGGGGTGTCCAATGGCATGTGGAATATTTCAACCCCAGGGGTGGCAAGGTGGCTTGCCAAGGGAAAGGGCTCACCTGAGGAAAATATTTCACGTATCCAGTCCGTAGAGTGGAATGGCGAGCAAGCGAAGACACCTGAGCGGGTCCAGTACTAGCTGGTCCACTCGGAGATTGTAGAATCTGGCGAATGTGTTCTTTCAAGTCAGTTCTTTCTGAGAATTAGGATTCTGCCCTGGCCCCCCACCAGGCGAAGGAGTGGCCCTGCTACCAGCTCCTGGAAAGAACTGAGTCCCATCTCTGAGCAGCCCCATTTCAAGAGTACCGCTTAACTCGCGTATAGCTGGGGGCGAGGCTGGAGAGGGCTGTGGCATATCCCTGCGGCTTCCAGAGCCAGCCCGGGTGAACGGGGGCGGGGTGAGAGCCGCAGGAGGGCGCCTTCGGCGTCGGGAGGACTGAGGGATCTGAGCGGACGGCGAGGCCGTCTGGGAAGAATAAGGCTCAGTCTGCTTGTGGCCGGTGGAGAACTGTTGGGCAAAGCACTCAACAGCACCGCACCTGGGATGTTGCCGGTGTCCTCCTTTATACCCAAGAGGTAAGGCGGAGATACGCTGTGCGAATTCCGCAGACCCATGGCATTTTCTTTGCCATTGGCTCGTTTTGTATACTCGAAGTCGGTAGGCTTTCTAACCGAAACCCCATTCGTCGTCATCCGACAGAACTCGGAGTGACAACGAAAGGGAACTGATTATTTTGCAGTAGTCTACTCATTTTTCCAGAGCTGTATATATAAATATAGATTCTCACATATAATAAAATCTACATTTAAAAAAAAAATTAAATATTGGGCAAAAACTAAACTAAACTAAAAATAAATGGTAAAATGTATCCAAGACAGTTTTAAATGTGACCTTCATATACAAAAAAAATAAGCTCTGGGCACAAAAAAGTGCCCCAATTAAAGGTTTCTTAGGCAGAACCACCAGAATGACTGGCATGAATTCAAGAAGGATCTGTCCCCCTTAGTTAAATATACTTTTGTCTGCTTCAGGACTCGAACCTATATTTTTAGGCCACAGTCATAGACAGTCTGGTGGGAAATGGGAATCTCTAGACATTTAGCACATTGTCATTCCTGTGTGTAATGCTTTGAATGAACGGCCTTGCAATGCCTACACTGTGACGTAGAAGTAAGTTGCTTTCATTTGTTTTAACAGGGTTTTGTGGTTGCTGTACTCTACTGTTTTCTGAATGGAGAGGTAAGACATATGTACTGTAGATGGATGGAAATGTTTGATGCATTCATTTACAACTGATCAGAAGCCACTTCCTACAGTATATTAAAGTTTTATTTAATTTCTAAATAAAAACTAAAAGCTCAAACCCTGGCTTATATTCTGTTAGCCACACATGTTGTAAATAGCTCTAGATGTACTGACAGTGGTGGCCTATTACTTTGATATATGCATTGATGTTTATAGCGTCTTGGGGCTTCTAGCTTGTACAGATTAAATAAAAGGTTTCACAGGTGCAGGCTCTAGCAAAAGGTAAGTTGCATTTTCAGTTGAATTTGGAGAAACCACTTTTGTTTGATTTGTTCATTGCAAACAGCTAACTTTTCGCCACACTTTTCAGGTGAAATAAACATTAGAGGCATTAAAACACCAACAAATTTGTAAGAAACCCGCATGCACAACGGAGACAAAAATTATATCGCTTATAGGACCTCTTGTGTCAGCTAAAAAAAAAAACCCAACGTATTTCAGTTTTTGCAGGAATATCACATACTTCCAGTGAGTCTGTGTTGCAAAAAAAAAAAAAAACAGCATGTTCAACTCATTTTACTACCTTAATGTGGCTTTTTAATGTAAAACTGTAGAGCATGACTAATTTTTCCATCACTGGTTTGATAGGATTGGATCTTGCCTGTCTTTCAGGTCCAAGGTGAGATCAAGAGGAAATGGAGACGATGGCACCTTGAAAGATTCCTGGGTCCCGATACCAAATACCAGCACCCATCCATGGGCAGCAACGGCAACAACTTCAGCACGCAGATCTCCATGCTGACCCGCTGTAGCCCCAAGACTCGCCGTGCCTCTGCGTGTCAGGACGAAACCTCCATCACAGTCTAACCAAGCATCTACAATGATGTGGTATCTTCACACCAGAATGAGACTTTCCCACATACAGTGTAATTCTTTGGAGGTATGAGCTACTAAACCTAAAATTTTTGCTGAATATAGCGCAATTTGATGCCATAGAAGTCACAGCGAGATTCTTGTGAGTTGTGAACAACTCTATCGGATTTCGGATCCCCTTCTTTAACACATAAATCCTGTAAATAAAGCTGTGGTGATCTTCTGGAGAGCATAGATATTGTAGTTCTAGACCTTTTCCGTCATTTTGTGCCGACTCGGCTCTGCAGGGACACAGATGCAACAGCATCATCAAAAATGAATGATGATACGCTGTAGGAAAAAGAGGTTAGGGATTCTCTACCTGGGCTGCTCTTATATATATTTTGTTTGTGAGGAAAGTAAAAATGAAAAAAAAAGAAACAAAAAGGCAACCAAAAGTGGATTGTTGAATATCCAATATATGGAGATACACTGTAGAGACCAAATGTGATGTTTTTTTTAAACATGTTCATTTTTTTTTAAACAATGTTTTCAGATCTGTATGTGTGTAGGTACGTTTGGAAGATGAATGCCCTTCTCTGCACTATCATTCCAGATCAGTCATCCCAGCAGTGTCAACATTCAGTGTGCATGCTTATTTTACTGTCAATGTGCCATGTGACATGACGACTTTATGGTCTAACGTCAAATCCTTTTGTGCTAAGAACAAACTCCATTGGGACATCAATGTTCCCACAAGAATGGCCCTGTTGGAGCTTGATAAAACTGTCACGGACATTGCTCATTATTAATCTTGAGGAATAATACTGCCCTACAAAGCCAAAAGGCAGTAAATGACCAGAGTGTCAAACTGAGAAAAATGACTTTAAAGTTTTTTGTTCTGTCCACACAAATGTATTATAGGTAGAGCAATGAAAATCTGGTGACTTGTTGCCCAGATCAAGAAATGTGTGCATATAAAAAATCTTGTGCTCAAAGTTGACTTTTGACCCTTATTTGTCAGATACTGTACTCTGCCTTTGTATTATTTACTAAAAAATAAGGAGTCGTGCAAAGGCAAAAGGCAGTAACTGACATATAATCAATTTGCTTACCACCATTTAGAAGATAATTAATGATCACCTTCATTAAAGTCTAATGGGAAGAGAATCGACCAAACAAAAAGTTGTATGTGTACGTGGATAATATTTTGCAACAAATACACTTTATGCTGTTTCACTAACGCTAAATGACGCTTAATTACAGAAGACGCTTTGAAACTAGCCTAGATAACTTGTGGATAGCTTGGTCTGAATACCAGCAAGGGACACGGACTATATGTTCAAAACCTTTGAGGATTGTGGAAACATCGTAGATGACGTGTATTGCAATGGATTTTATGGAGTTACAAGAAAAGGTAGGAAATTATTGTTTATTGCCACCGTGCAGTATGTGTTAGCAGGCTACTGCCGCTGTGCAGTAATGTGTAGCATGATAGCTAGGCTGGGGCTAACATGTCAACATTGAATAGGCTACATTCCTGCAATGTCTGCATCTCTGGATTGTCGGCACAGAATGGATTGCTGAGTGATTTTTAATTATTTAAGTATTAGATGTCATGCTGTCTAGGTATCTATTGATGTTTTGGTTGGTGTTGGTGTGCTGGCTAATAAGTAGACTAGTTAGCTTCTTCGTCAGTTGCTTGTCCTAGCAATTCAAAATTAACGTTAAGTATATGGCACTTTCATACTTCATCTAATGCATTATTTTATAAGATAATTTATTACCTTGGTCTTCATGTCTTCTTTTCAACGCCAACTCCACCATCATTCTCCCTCGAGAGCAATTTGCCATTCTTACAGTAGTTCAACACTTGATAAAACGACCACTTAACACATTTGACAGCTCGTTTTTTATTTGGATATTTGTGTGTTATAGAAGTAAGTGATTTAGTGACAATACATGGACAGTAACTGAAGCGCGGCAAATTTTTATGGACAGTAAAACAAAGGCAGATCATCGTAACTGCAAGGTGGCACCGTAACATCTCTTTTATGAATGGCTTAACAAAGGCGGAACTGGACTTTTGCGTCGAAGATCAAAGCCAAAGAAGGGTAACTGCAGTTACCGCTTTCTGCCATGGTTGCTTGCATGGTTTTGGGAGTTACTGTGAACACAACCCTCTATTTTTTCGAAAAAACAGTCAAATTGAGTATAGATATTTATCCACATGATAAAGGAGGTCTTTAATATCCCAAAAATGACATTAACTCATTTTTGACCAAAAATGCAGTTACTGCCTTTTGGCTTTGTAGGGCAGAATACACATCGACCAATTCATGCTAACAATGGAAGTGGTATTTAAGTGTCATCACTATTGCTATTGATGTGGCATCTGTAAATTTACCATCTCCAATGTTACTGTGGCACAAAATCAGGTTCTTTGGTTTCAGTAGCAACTTGCAGTGCTTGTTCAACTAGAAGAATTTTGGTGTTTATGAAAAAGCTAAAAGGGAAATGAAAAAAGCAGGCCGACTTGTCGCACCAATGCTCTTGTCTCACAGTTTTACTCATTGGGATGGACTTGCAGCCAGATCAAGGCCTGTAAAGTCTCGGAAAAGCGACTCAAACTGGGTCAGTGCCACATTTCCAGTGGAGTGTAAAATAATTATGTACAGTCACATCTGACGATATATAAAGGGAATGTACAGTAAATTAATTTTAATGCTACTGGTGGGATGTCTCACAAAAGTTATAGTAAAATATATGTTAAAGCCTCAAATTACTGCCCAGCATTGTCTGATTATTTCAATTTTTTTTTAAGTGTGATTAGCCAGATTACCTCTCATCTTTCACAATAAAGAATGTATATTCTTATAAAAATATGTTCAAGTTGAATAAAATGTCATTTTTCAATTTATAAAAGAACAAATACCACTTAGTTAGCTGACTTTGTGAATTTTGTGAAGTGCGTATAGGAAAAGGTGCCTATTTTATTCAGTTGCGCTGTACATGCTGTGTCTGGTTTTGGAATGATACACTGTTTGCTGTATTAAATTGGTAAAGCTTAATATGTCAGTGCAAAGCAGAAGAACTGGATGTTGTGTATATTATCTGTGTATATGTGTTGTGAAAGTGAGTAATATTTGTCCATATGGCATGCTACACAGGCAACAAATGATAAATTCACAAGCAGCATGACCCAAATTCTTTACAGTCATGTGTAAGTGTAACACATAATGAATATTTTTGTATCCACATTTAAACAAGCTTGATACATGTTATATGTATTTTTGTAACATTTGGGACCATTTTGCATTGTTGTCTGCTCACAATAAACAATTTTAAATGAACTTAAGCTGTACATTTGCATTGCAATTTTGTGACAGCATATATTTCTATTATATTTAAAATCAGAAATCAAAATTATTTACTTTACTCACAAATTATTAATCTTGTGGTGAAGAAATAATCTAAAGGTAATTTCTTTTTTCATTTTTTGAGAAAAATGTGTTTTGGTGTTAGAATTTGCTTCAACGCCCTTTCATTCAATGCTTACCAGAAAGCAAAAGCAGAACTGTTCTTCAATATGTTTGGGGTTTGACAGACACTAAGGCTCAGAGGGGACCCGTGTAGAGTGAAATTTACACAGCAAATAAATAATTTAACTGAATCTCTCTCAGGGAAAAAAGGACTGACACAGGGCATAATCTTAGTTTTGTTCAAAGAAGATGGAAAATGGAAAATATTTGACATGGCATGTAACCCAACCAACAATCGTAATTGTAACAATTTTTTTCAAATTACAGTGGAATATACAGTGGAATACAGTGGAATATACATGTGGAGGTCGCCCAGAGGGGGAACCATGCACGTGGATGCACCTAGCAGTGCTGGAGGAACTCAGGGCTTGAGGAGGAAGCTCACCTGAGGAAATATTGCACGTATCCAGTCTGTGGAGTGGAATGGCGAGCAAATGAATACACCTGAGCAGGTCCGGTACTAGCTGGTTGTAGCGAGTACATGAGAGGACACAGGCTCCACTCGGAGATTGTAGAATCTGGCGCGTACGTACTGGACAGAGCAGTGCCAAGGCTGGGTCTGCCGCCTCTAGGGGCAGCACTTGCAGGTTCACCACCTGGTCCCGGAAGGGAGTGGTGGGAACCTTGGGCACATATCCAAGCCGCGGTCTAAGGATCACGTGTGAGTTAGCCAGCCCAAACTCCAGGCAAGCTTGGTCAACCGAGAATGCGTGCAGGTCCCCAACCCTCTTGATGTAGGCCAGTGCAACCAGCAGAGCTGTCTTCATAGACAGTAAATTAATCTCCACTGATTGCAGAGGCTCAAAGGCAACCCTCTGCAGGGCAGTTAGACCCAAGAGGAAATGAGAGGGAGGCAACCTGATCGGGTTGGGCTTCCCTATGGATTTACCTTCCACTGTATCATGTTAAGCGGCAATAGCGGCAACGTATACTTTGAGGGTGAAGGGGGACAGACTTCGCTCCAACCCATCTTAAAGGAAGGAAGTGTTTCATGGACGACGCTCTAGCGGAAGTAATGATAGCCACCACCGCTGGTGGTAGGGTACTCAAACCCCCCTTATCCCGTCCAGGAGCCACACGTGGAAGTTCCAAAGATCGGGACGAGGGTGCCATAGGGTGCCCCATCCCTGAGAAAGGAGGTCCTTCCTCAGAGGAATTGGCCAAGGAGGCGCTGTCGCGAGGAGTACGAGTTCAGAGAACCAGGTCCGGGTGGTCCAGAGCGGAACAACCAGAATCACCTGCTCCTCGTCCTCCCTGACCTTCCGGTCTGAGAGGAAGGTCGGAGTAACTGGTACTCGGGGTGTGACGTGTTGCCATGCCCACCTCGGGGCTCGGTCGCAAAGCCAGAGCGCCAATCTGAGCGGCGTTGCAACAGCAATGTGCACCAGGAGCCTCTGAAATAACTTCAGTTGAACTCCGCTCTTTCCCCGAATTGTCGCTCTTACCCTGAATTGCTCGTAAGCTGCGCGGATATGGCGACCAAGTCTATTTCCATACTGAGAAAAGAGATCCTCTGCACGGGGCAAAGTTTGGTCTTCTCCCAGTTGACCTGAAGGCCCAGGCGAGCTTGGTCCTTGTGTTCGCAAACTTGGTCTCGAGAGTGTACTAGGATACAGTCATCAAGATAGTTCAGGATGCGAACCCTGTGTTCCCGCAGGAAAACAAAGGCTGCCTTGATGACCTTTTTAAAGACGCGAGGAGTCGGGGCTAATGAATTGCATAGCCGAGCCTGATGGTTCGTGCGACCCAGTGGGACAGATCGGGAAGCTCTATCCAGGCTCCCAAGGACCAAGGATATTTTGTTGGTTTAGTTCCAGACCTGCGGTCTTAGGTCACCATGGCCACCAGCTGAAGTATTATCTCGCGTGGAGAAAATAGATCGGGGTGTGGATGAGGGGACTCTC